ATATCAATATGGAGCGAGTGAAGAGCTGCGAGAGGCTGATGGGATACTGAAGGAGAAGCAGGAGTCGAAAAAGATTATTTTAGAAAACAGAATACTGTATCTACAACCAGGACGTCAATATTCAACAGCTGTTTGTCTAAACCAGATGTTTTCAAAATGGGATCCTCAAAAATAAATGAATTATAATGTGTCAATGGATTAAAAGCGAAGAATAAACTTTTAGGGAGTGTCCTAAAGTGAACGGCAGTAAATCATCATCTGGGGAGTGTCATTAAGTACACAGCAACAAATCCGTATTTGAGGAGTGCAGATCAGCATTTAGGGAGTGTCATAAAGTGAACAGAATCGTTTGAGCGGTGGTAACGTTAAATCACCTTCAGCGTTTCCCTGTACACGGGGTTGATGGTGTTTCTTTTGACGCTGGTTTTTCTCTTGCTCTGTCTCGATTTGTCAGGTAGAAGGTAACACTTGACGTAACTGAAAGACAAAAAGGAAAACACTCAGTCGGTCGGTCAGTCTTTATCACAGCCCTGGCGCTGCAGCTGCTTCTGTGTTACAGAAAAGTGACTCATTTCCTGCAGTCGTAGCCTGTGGGACAAAGTGATTATGCTCTAGCTGCACCAGACCTACACTGTTTATCAGCGCTGATCGGAACAAAACATACATCACTAGGACTATGCGTGTGTGTGTGTGTGTGTGTGTGTGTGTGTTTAACAGGCGGTTTAAAGTCTGCATTGAACAGTTGTTCCAGCCTTGTCTGTGACCGGAATTCTGAGTTGAGATTTCCCTACTTGCCCCAACAACCCTAACCTGACTGACTTATTTTGTCCAAGAAAAAAAATATGTTATATTATTTTGTGTTATTTTTAAGGCCATTTATCACAGCTGAAGTAGAACTTTAAATGCAGTTCAATTTACGGGTTGGACAGCTGCCGTGACGCTTCAGCATATGCGAGGTCTTGGCACAAGTTGATGAAGACGTCCAGGTTCTGGGTTTGTTTGTTGTAGCTCAAAGAGAAGACGACGTTTCCGCTCACGTCCACGTTGTCAAAGTCTCCTGCTTCACTGTAGATACTCATCATGCTGCCCATGCCACTCTGCGCACAGACACACACAGAGAGAGAGAGAGAGAGAACATGTGAGACGCAGAGAGCGACAGAAAACCACAAGGACAAAGAAATGAAAAGACACAGAAAAAAAGACCACACAATCAAGAGGCACAGAGAGCAAGACAGAGACCAAGACAGAGAGACTCACAATGACATGTCAATATCAGCAACAACAAAAAAAAAAAAGGTCTCATGAACTTCTGTCCTAAAACAAAGAACCATCCTGTATTCTAATAAACATTAAATATTAATTGTGTTAATTGTTAGAATGAATCCTTTCAAATTAGTTTTAGGCCAAAAATGTAAATTACAGATTTTCCACATTTTTCCTCTTGTACAGATGTTTACGCCTCAAACTGTGAAAAGGTTCATAAAACTTGGTCTTGGTTTTTATATATTTGCTGCTATATCTTAGAATCTATTTATCTCCCAACCTCAGAGGAAGTGCTGGGTAACTAGGTCACCGGTTGAGGATCTTAGTAGGTTAGTAGTAGAAGCAGTGAGACACATACCCTGGAACTGTTCAGACTGTAGGAACTGGATGCCATGGACCTTTTATGAAAACTGACCAAACTGTCAATGTCTTCCTCCTCCTCCTCATCCTCCTGTGAAACACGAGAAACCGTTAGAAACGGGTTTGAATGACGCCGATTTCACCCTTTCAAACTTCTACCACTGAATTATAAAAAATACAGAACAAGTAGAAATGTGTGGGAATATATGAAAATCACTCATATTTTATCGACGCCGAGAGAGAAATTGTTACTGTTAGAAGTCTTTTACTGAAGTTGCTCCTGTGTCTGACAGTCTTATCGTGGGGTGGAAGTGAAACGTTGTCAAAGACTTTTCTTGGCTTTTGCAGCATTCTTTTATCTGACACGATCGCCGGGGTTAAACATACCTTGCTTTTCCGTTGAGTAGAACTACACTTTCAGTCTCACAGAGTACTATTAGCTTGTTGAGTTTGGTTATTGAAGGACCTCAGTCAATCATGAAACACGGACAACTCTATCCCTTACGTATATGCTTTTAGCCCAGTCTTGTTACCATGTTAACGTGGACACCCAGGTACTGGTAATCCTGTGCAATGTCCACGCTGACCTCTTGGATAAGAGGTCACAGGTGTCAGGCTGTCTTCCAGATGACAGAGACTATTGGTTAAGTTGAGGGCAAAGTTAGGGGCAAAGCGTGAGCCACTCAGAGGTCTCGAGTGTGTTGGCACATTCGCACAAGAAATTGCACGGCTTTTCAACCTTTTCAGCATGTTGATTTGGGCCACTCAAGATGACGTGTCGACAAATCCTTTTTTCTATACCTAAATTGTTATTATACTATAGTATTACACCATAATTTAGGTATTGTTATTATACTATAGTATTACACCAATAATTTAGGTTATATATACATATAAAAAAATATATGTATATATATACACATATATTCATATATATATACATATATGCATACATACACATATATATTCATATATATATACATATATGCATACATACATATATACATACATACATATATACACATACATATATACACATACATACATATATATACATACATACATACATATATACACATACATAATATACCAAAAAAGTCGAAAGAACTTCTAACATATGTTTTTGGTCTGGTTTTCAACGTCTCACCTTAACGTCCAGCACCGGCACCGAGCGACTCCTGTTTCCCATGGTCGTCTCAGAGGAATCACATCCATCTCTCAGGTCCACAGTAGAAACACAGTCTGAATGAAAACAAGATTAACATTAAAAAAAAAAAAAAAATTGTACATACAACACACACATAGCCATTCACAGACAGACATACGCTACTGGTATAACACACAGCAGCCTACCACAAAAGTCATACGTCGCTAGCGGTATGAACTTGGTTAGCCCAGAAAAATCCATAAATTAGCTGCATCATTGTTTGAGCCGCAGGGTTCAAAGGTCGTGAAAAAAGTAGCGGTTTATTGTCCAGGAATTAAGGTAAAAAGAATAAAAGAAAATCTAACGAAATAATATTTAATTTTTTTCTGTGCATTGCAGTCCATGTCCAGTCCATGGCCCAGTACGGGTCCGTGACCCAGTGGTTGGGGAGCCTTAGCATGAGAGACTCACCAGGCTTTTTCTGGACTCTTCTCACACTCTTTTTAAAGAGCTTGTCAACATCCAGCTCTGCAGCTGGATCTGCTGCTGTTACTTGAACCTGTGAAGACAACAGAAACAACAGACAGCGTCTAAGACGGTAATAAATGAATAATGCTA